GAGTCAATGAGTCGATGCAATCAGCTGGTTTTCCTTAGAAAACTTTGAACCAATTTGACTGTATGATCTAGTTGAATCGTTTCTGTAAAGTGCCTTGAAGATGACGTGTTGTGAGTTGGTGCTATATAAATAAACTGAATGGAATTGATATGTCACCTCTAGAGAGATTACCTGCTGAATGGGACTTTGAGCTTGGAAGAGGATACGCCGACCCAGCAGCTCTGCGAAGATGCAGCCCACAGACCAAATATCGATGGAGTTGGTGTAATGGCGGCTGCCCATAAGGATCTCTGGTGCTCTGTAGTACTGTGTCACCACTTCCTGAGTCATGTGTCGGGACTCATCCGACTCCTCCACACGGGCCAGCCCAAAATCACAGATCTAAACAGATAGACAGCAACATCTGTAAATCCTCTCAAAGATTTTCCTTTTTCATTGACTTTGTTGTTTTTCTTTGCTGAGACTAAACATCTTCTTAATAATATCTCAACTGGGTCTATGATGACATTGGAAGAAACATACTTCTTTTTTCTCTTGAAGAATCAATTTATGAATAGGATTTCTTAAACATAAACTATTCAAAATACATTCTCAAAAATGGCAATTAGCATAAAACAACTGAAAGTGAATACTGACCAAATGGCGAACATAAATTCTACAGAAAAATGCCCCTTTTACATCGGCTCCACTTGGCCTGACTCTACATATTTAGTACCGGGAAAAGCTTTTATGGGTCCTGCTCCGGATTAGGTATGATCAGAGATGAGTAAGGCAGAACCAGTACTGAAAATCAGTCATGGAAACTGACAGGGTGGAGTTATGGAGTGAATGTTGTTCAATTACCGTTTCAAGCAAAAAGCAGGGTTTGTTAAGGGAAAGAGAAAAAAAAAAAGGTTCTGATGGAAATGCTGAAACCTTAAAAATAATTGTTGAAATAAGAGACAAAATATGTAAAAACCTTGTAATGTTACTTTCTTTCAAAAACATTTTTTACTAAGAACTTTGTTCAAAGTTTTGATCTTTGGATTGTATTTTTCTTCTTTGATTTTTCATTTACTTTTCTTTACTTATAAGAATAATGGAACAGAATTCACTCCATATGGAGCAGAGCCCTGCCAAGTAGAGCAGGTGGAAAAGGGGGGCATACATGGATGCAATCATAGTAGCCTTTATAAGCACCTTGAGCACACAGTTGCTGTTGACCAGGAGGTTGCCAGGTTTGATATCCCGGTGCAGAATTCCAGCAGAGTGCAGGTATTTAAGTCCTGCAGGTGGTGGTTGGAAAAAAAACATACATATATTAAAAATAATTATATGTGATTAGAACCCTGGAGAATGAAAGTTACTACCGTAACTACTGTTCTATTTCATCCCTACTGACCGCCAGAGGCAGTGCTTGAAGCACCGCCTCTGGCGGTCAGTAGGGATGAAATAGAACTCCTGACAGCCATCAGAGCCTCAGAAGCACAACACACCCAAAAAAATCTCATCTTGAACCTTGATAACTTCAAACTCAAGTAATGGATCTGATACAGATACTTGATCCTTTAAACTAGAATTTGACTCTGAGAAAAAACAAGAGGTGTTTTCTAATGTAACATAGTAGCAGGATTCTGGTGAAGATTCTCAGTCAGGTCATAGTCATTCAAGGAAAGTAAAACAATCCACTGGACATAGACAGGTATGGGGCATTGCAGGCTAACAAAGGAAGCCAAACGACCCGTATTCCAAAGGGGTGGACCCGTTCGTCCCTTTCAGTTTGCATGTTTTCTAAAGGCTTTTTTGGGCTGCTGTATAAAGCCTGGAACTCAACTCTATTTCAGACATTTTGAATTGAAAAAGCTTCCTGGATGGGAAGCGAAACGTCTTCAAACTTAGAAACAAAGTCTAGTGGATTGTTATTTTTTAATTTTTTGCAAATACAGTAGCAGCCATTCAAAATGGCCCTTCTCAGTCAAAGCCTGGCAGCCGAATGGCAGCAGAATCCCCTCCAACTTCCAGCCACTGGCCTTCTCCTGGGCGTGCATATTTTTTTACTCTGACTCCACCGTTTCACTGAATTACAGGGTCTGACCAGGAGATAATTATTCTCTTTATATCTTAATGTGGAAAAATCATGACAGAAAGAATATTTTAGATGTTTGAAAAGGAATTGTAGGGGACCAGCCAAGGGCCCATCAAGGAAAGTGGGGAAATTTTGAATGGCTACTAATGTGAACATCATTTAAGACAAGATCATAAAGAAATAATTGGCGGGAGTGGCGGCCTAGTGGTTAAGGCATAGAGGGCCGGATCTATCAAAGGTTTGCGTGTATAAAAACCTGAGCTATTTCACTGCGCTCGCTAAAAAAT